TCTACTTTAAAGAGTCCTCTCCTGCTGATGTTCAGGTGTATATCAGTATGTAGTGTCTCTACTTTAAAGAGTCCTCTCCTGCTGATATTCAGGTGTATATCAGTATGTAGTGTCTCTACTTTAAAGAGTCCTCTCCTGCTGATGTTCAGGTGTATATCAGTATGTAGTGTCTCTACTTTAAAGAGTCCTCTCCTGCTGATGTTCAGGTGTATATCAGTATGTAGTGTCTCTACTTTAAAGAGTCCTCTCCTGCTGATGTTCAGGTGTATATCAGTATGTAGTGTCTCTACTTTAAAGAGTCCTCTCCTGCTGATGTTCAGGTGTATATCAGTATGTAGTGTCTCTACTTTAAAGAGTCCTCTCCTGCTGATGTTCAGGTGTATATCAGTATGTAGTGTCTCTACTTTAAAGAGTCCTCTCCTGCTGATGTTCAGGTGTATATCAGTATGTAGTGTCTCTACTTTAAAGAGTCCTCTCCTGCTGATGTTCAGGTGTATATCAGTAGTGTCTCTACTTTAAAGAGTCCTCTCCTGCTGATGTTCAGGTGTATATCAGTATGTAGTGTCTCTACTTTAAAGAGTCCTCTCCTGCTGATGTTCAGGTGTATATCAGTATGTAGTGTCTCTACTTTAAAGAGTCCTCTCCTGCTGATGTTCAGGTGTATATCAGTATGTAGTGTCTCTACTTTAAAGAGTCCTCTCCTGCTGATGTTCAGGTGTATATCAGTATGTAGTGTCTCTACTTTAAAGAGTCCTCTCCTGCTGATGTTCAGGTGTATATCAGTATGTAGTGTCTCTACTTTAAAGAGTGCTCTCCTGCTGATGTTCAGGTGTATATCAGTGTGTAGTGTCTCTACTTTAAAGAGTGCTCTCCTGCTGATGGACTCATCATGCTGTCTGAATGAAACTCTTCCACACAGTGTAATAATCTCCCTTTATTAGAAACAGAAAGGCTGAGGAAGTGAAAGCAGGACAGGAAGGTGCAGATGACCCTGGAGACGTGTTGCATTTGCTCTGCCTGTGGATAGTGGAACATCACAGACGATGCGTGGGTACAGGGAACGCTCTGAAGAGTGAGGATCCACTTTCTGAGGGTCTCTCCCCTTTGAGTTCCAGACGGACGTCAGGAAGGTAAAGCCGACACATCTCCACACAAAGGACACATAAGTAAGATGAAGCGAGGAAGAGTCAGAGGAGCGTTATGAGGCCGAAGGCAACAGTGGCAAGCAAACTAAAGCTAGTATGAATACATGGACAGAGAACAGAGATATATTTATAAAGACTTTTTACAAACTGTCTCTACCCAGCTGTGTGACAGAGACCTTCTCCTCAGCAGGTCGCCTCCAGAGGTCATTTCATTCACCTTCACCAGGTATTATTTAACTGATGTAAGAGAAAGAGTCAGAGGGGCTGCTATGAGATGAGGAAGCAGAGAGTCATGAAGGCGCATTAGGGCCGAGGGGGAATCATCAATATGAGACCGGGTCAGAGGAGGGGTGACGTTCAGTTACAGAGAGCAAGGGTTTGGAAATATCACTCAAAGGTTTTTATGACCAAAAACTCATAAATCCCAAAATAAAAAATAATAATCATTTATTTTCCTGTAAATTTGAATTGTTTTCCCTTTTGAATAATAACTTAAGATTTACAAGAAAAAACTTCATAAATGTGAAAAAAAATTATCTGAAGTTTAAAGGAAAAATTAAATATTCCTGATTTTCTTTCTCGTAAATTTAGGAATTTATAATCTCAGAAAATGTAGAATATTTTTGCCATTTCTGAATTCTTTGATATCACCCACAGTCTGGAGCAACACGTGTGATACAGAGGAATACATATCACTACAGCTAACAGGAACTTTACTGTAGGTGTGTTTACAGCTCTCTAACTTCCAGACCCAAACACAGAGGCCTCAGGTCTGAGAGGAAGCAGAGAGACCTGACGGAGGGGCTCCAGAGGTCGGCCAGGGGTCAAGGTGTTCAGAGGGAGATGTTTGATCAAAGGAAACCATGACGGAGGTTTTTAAGTTAGTGTGAGATGTTTGATGACTGCGGAGCACCACACACACTCAGTGTGTCCTCACACACACAGTCTCTCTGCAGGAGGACAGACAGACTCTCCTCCTCCTCTAACAGTTAGTGTCCAGTTGGAGCCCCCCCCCCCTCTATGAGCTCTCCAGAGCGTCCAGCACCTTCATGATCTGCTGCTTGATCACCTTCGTGGCGTCGCCGGCGTTCGGTATTAAATATCTGAGAGGAGAAAACAGAAATGAGATGACCACACACACACACACACACACACACACACACACACACACACACACACACACACACACACACACACACACACACACACACACACACACACACACACACACACTCTCTCAAACACACACACACACACACACACACACACACACACACACACACACCTCTCCACAGCGGAGATCTCCACCCCCGCTGAGTTGTTGCTGCCGAACTTGAAGGTGATGAGTTCAGGGTGCTTCTTTTTGGATGTGATCTTCACCACTGAGTTCAGAGCCTGTCGGGACTGGATGTAGGAGAACCCTTTCCTGGAGGCGATCTCCCGCAGGCAGTACATGTGGGAGGCTGTGACCAGCAGGTGGCTGCAGGACACAGGAAACAGCTGTTACTGACTACTCTGATGCTCCTCCACTGCTCAAGCTCCCCTGTTATACTCTTTCTCATCAATGTATCACAGGCCTCAGATATATCCAGAGCCTGCCTCTGATTGGCTGAAACACCAGACAGATCATTGTAGCATTACCCATAATCCCCTCTGTTTCAGCCCTGTTTCCAAAGTGCTGATTCTCTGTCTGTTACTTTAGATCAGTGTTTCTCAAACTTTGTCATACCAAGGACCACCAATAAAAAAACACTCATGGACCCCCTGACTCCACAAATATCCAAAAACATAGGCCTGCTCACCACTCCAACAGCACAGCCTAATGATGACAGCTTAGCCTTCTCTATATGGCCTCGTTCACACATTAAATCAACAATACAGATTATATCAGCATTTAGTTCAAATGCGATTTTAAATGCTCAGGTTTTGCACCTCTTATGAAATGTAGACTACATTTATTACAGATCGTTGGCTACTGAGAGATATGCAAAACACACCGCATGTAGTACGACTAGGGTTGGGAACCGAAACTCGGTTCCAGATGAGAACCGATGAGAA